TTGGTCGCTTCTCATCGTTTCTGTCTGAACCAATCATAATTGGTCATCATTAGCTTTTGCTCTTAAGTATGAGTTATTCTTCTTATCCCACGTGATCACATGGATTTCGAAAATGACTGAAGAAGGTTTGTCCGCTCTTCGAACAATGACAAAAATCATCGTTCTGCCGGGTGTTCCAGGGAATGCAGAAGCTTCCGCTTGGGCTCAGGAAGCCTTTCTGCCGCGGGGTCCACGTGAAATAGTTTCTTGCTTGCTGAGTTTGCCACAGAGTCTTTGCTGAAATCTTCGATGCATTCTTTGATGTGGTCCGGGACACTAAGGTGCGATATTATCGAACCCCTTTTCGCGTGCAGCGTGCAGCGTGCATTGCATTTTGATTTTTTTGCTGCAGAATGCATGCTTGTTTCCGTTTCGATAATATGAAATTCCAAAATTTGGCCTGCATGCACTGTAGTAGTCGCATAGGTCAAACTGCTCATTACTCGTATACTAATTTATAAATTCAACGTGTTGTGAAACGGTATTTTCATACTTTTCATTGATACCATCGTTTTTTCGGGCATAGTCATGTTCCAAGATTGGTTGCCAAAAGCAAACAATTGGCTGCCATCAGTCGGAGATGACAGTGAAGCAAAAGATTGGCTGCCACCTGTCGGAGACGTGGGAGATGACGGTGAGGCTTCCGACAGCATGGATATTATTGATATGCCCATGAGCTCTCAGGATGCTTTGTTTGGCTTTGGCATGTATACGATTCCGGACAATGTGTTGTTAGAAGCTCACATGAGGAAGAAACGTAGAAGACGAAAAGCAAAATGGGTACACGATCGTGTCAATTGGAACGAGCATAAGGCAGCAAAGATTTACAAAAACGAGTTCAAAGCCTACAATCGCATGTCAGAAAAAGCTTTTAATGTATTGGTCGAACTCCTACGTCCCAGCCTTACAATGAGCGACACACATGCGATGTCCTCTACAGGGGCACACAATGCAATATCCCCAGAAGTGATCGTCTCGATTGGCCTCAGGTTCATGTCTGGAGAACCAGCCAAGTCGCTTGCTGATGTTTTTGTAATAAGCAGGCCTTCAGCAACAAGAGTCATTGATATGTTCCTTCATGCTGTAGAGGCATGCAAAGAACTTGAATTACGCCTTCCATCAACCGAAGAAGAACTTAAGAAGGCAATGGAAGAATGGAATGACTTATCAACCGGTACTGGGGCTTTATGGGGTTTTATTGGTGCCATTGATGGATGGTTGGCATGCACTGACAAGCCAAGCAAAGGGCAAGATCTTGACGGTAACCAAGCAGATTATTTCAGCGGTCACTACCACCGCCACCGCCACGGTCTGAATATCCAAGCAATTTGCGACGCGAAACTTCGATTCATTTACTTCACTGTGGCTGCTCCAGGATCGACTGGCGATGCCAGAGCATTCAAACGTTGTGAAGAGCTTTTGCAGTGGATCACAGATTTGCCGAAGGAATGTTTTATTGGGGGCGACAATGCTTATCCGCTTTCCGATAGTCTAGTTGTCCCCTTCAGCGGTGCAGACAGATTTGACGAAGACAAAAGAACCCTCAACTTCTTTCTGTCACAGCTTCGTATTCGAATCGAAATGGCCTTTGGTCGCTTGACAACAAAATGGCGTATCTTTTGCAGCAATCTAAACTTCTCCCTGGAAAAGAATATCCGTATTTGCAACGTCGCTTCACGCCTTCACAATTTTGTGATTGACCAGCAAGAAATTGAAGATCTAGGAAGTCTAGAAGGGACAGAGACCACGGATCAACTTAGAACCATGGGTGGAATTGAACAATTTTCAGATCCTCGGTCTCCCGACAATCTTGGTTTTCTACCCAACCACGAACATCCAGAACAACTTGCAGAAAGGCCTCCTCAGAAAAATCAACAGGATGAAGGAATGGACGACTTAATGGATGGAGCGATGGATGACTTAATGGAGGATGAAACATCAGTCATCTACACCAATTTAAGCAGGCGCGATTCTATTTTGGATTATATCCAGGATTTGGAACTAGAACGTCCAGATAAAAATCGGTCAAGAAACGACAATTAAAATAGTAAAATGTTTAGCAATTCAAATGATACTACTATCTACTACTCAGCAATGGTTATTGAAATCGACTACTACTAGTCGGAGTCCGAGTCAAAGTTCACACATTTTTCATACATACTGTCGAATGAAAGGCATGTTCGAACGACCGACTCTTGAGACTCGAAATGTTCTCCATCAGGAAATTGTGGATCCGTGTGATCTGGATCTGCCTTCTTTTTCTTTTTGAAGCTTTTGAAACGCTTGGCATCATTGACTTTAGCCTTGATGGTGTCGATAGAGTCAATGGACGGATATCTTGGATCAGCAATAAGATCTTCCTTGTATTCCTTCTGCTTCAGCATGACTCCCACTGCCTTTTGCTCCATCGCAATGCGGTCTCGTTTGTCTTGGCGTGTCATATTCCTCTCAAGAGCTGCACTGTGAGTTGCAGCTAACTCTAGTACTTCTGGTGGAGGAACGACTAGGAGCCCCTCGCTTCTGGGCGCCTCTTTTACCATTCGACTGTTGGTATCGAGGAGGCATTGCTGTGGAGCCACTTGTTGATTCGCGGAAGAGTTCTTCTGGGATTTTACCTATATGAGTGGAAATAACAGGAGAAGATGAAGCAGGAGGTGAGATCGATCGCAACTGAAGTGGAAGGACCTCTAAAAAATTGTAACTTACTGCAGAGTTTCCCCAACAGGTCCGAGCCATAGGTCTCTAATTTTCGATGAAGATACATGAGCCACTTGGAGTTTTTGGCAAAGTTATCATATTCTTTGAATTGACTTGCCAATTTGGCCGCCTGAACGGACAACCCTTCCGCAAGCTTTTCTGCGTATTCTTCGTGATTGCCACTTCTTTTCCAAGAAGCAAAAGTATTCTCGTAGGCTTTGATCATTTGGTTGACCTTTGTCTTTGCGTCCTCCCACTGGTACGTGCCACAAATAGTATCCAGGGGGTCATTGTAGATGTCTGGATAAGCGGATTTTTTGAATTGGGAAAGATCGTGGTATAGTACCATGAGCCGTTCATGGAAGGTTTGCCCAGTTCTCTTCTGATTATTCAGCTCTTCTCTGGTAAGACTACCATTTCGCATGTCTAGAATTGAGCGCATTGCTTCACAGAGTAGGCACTCGATCAATCTAATAATGTTCCACTTTCTCACAGTCACAATTGTTGGTGCAGGGTTGTTCTGTGCACGACAAAGTAGGATGCAGAATGATGTTAGATTCGATTGGCTTTCCAGTTCAATTGCAATAAGATTCCAACTTACCATTGTTGCTAGCGTTCCGTTTGCTTTTGCGATTTGATATTCTTGTACTTTGGTAGCAATGAATTCACAATAATCTCCTTTCTTCATGTCTGCTTTCTTCATTTCTGTAGGCGATCCAAGATTCAGTCTTGATACCCCCACCAATTTCCGCAAGAGGTCAACAGGAATGTCTTTGATCACAACACCAGCAACGGACCGAAGTCTGGTCAGCCTGTCCCGTCCCTTGGTGAACTGGTTTATCGCAACCTGATCAATGACAATGTCATCGAAAGTAGCCGCTTTCAGTTTTGCTTGCAAAGACATTGTTACTGTCGTTGCCTCAATTGCTGTAGTAGCTGTAGCTGCTGTTGTAGTTGTAGTTGTAGTTGTAGTTGTAGTTGTAGTTGTTGTTGGTGTTGGTGTTGGTGTTGCTACTTGTCGAACTCCCACATCGTGTGTTGCCAGAACGTCGCTTCCGCCGCATTCCTTGGAACAGTACCAGTGACCGTCTTCCTTGCTAATTGACATCAACATATTTTCCTGTATACACAAGTTGTGGACTCCGCATTTACATTGGATGCAAGCATGATTCGGATTGAGAGAGTCATATTTGCAGTTTCTGATGCTGCAAAAGCCATTTGAATGTGATACTGCAACTTTGGCCCAAACTCTTCTACCGACTAATTTGGCAGCAGTATTTTGGCCACCGGGTGGTAATGTTTTTGCGATGTAATTCTGTTTGTTCAAACCAATGTCGTAATGAAGGTTATCATCGTCCTCGCTATCAGAGTCTAATGGAAGAATTGACAAGGCATTCGTCATGATACACTAGTGAAAAGAGCAGAAGATCAAGTGCAATGGAGTCTTTTCTTATTATTTTGATGTGAATTGTGAGTCGAGGTCTTCGAAACGCTATTGAGAATTGGCCAATCAAAATCATTCAATTTCAAAATGCAGGATGGATGCAGATTCCTGCAGCTCGCGGCAAAATGCATGCAGCCTGTAGGGGTACCCGGAAGTGGATTCTGCATGCTGCAAATCCGCGTGCAGGCTGCACGTTTTTTTTTTCGATAAGTTCGCTTCTAAGTCGCACGGAACCATCATCGCAGAACTCCACTTCCATTCCTAAATAGGTGTGTTTCTTTCCGAAGCTTTTACGCATTTCTCCGAAACGATCTTCTAGTTTTTTAATAATGTCGTGTACCGCTTGTTCATTCTTCGACGAAATCTTTAAGTCGTCCACGTACCAGCAAATAGTGATTTGGGTTCTGCAGGAGAGCGTCTTGTTCGCCACACAAGAATCGTAAGGGTTCAATTCGAATCCATCTTTGATGAGAAACTCCGACAACATGAGCCACCACAACATGGCAGATTTAATGCACCCGTACAGCGCGCGTTTCAAACGCACGTAGAGGAGTTTCTTGCCGCTTTTGGTCACGTGGAGATATTTCGCGTACATTGGACATGCCTTCACAAGCATGTCCGCTAGGTCTCCTTCGAAAACCATAAGTACGAACTCGTCCATGAATGCGTGTAAGTACGCCCCGTCGATGTCACAAACGCTCACAAAACGTTTCTCATGCGCATCAATGCCAAGCGACAGTATCATCCCTTCGCAGGAGACAGTCGGCGAATACACGGAGTCAGGATCCGTCCATTCCCGCTGGGGGCGACCGTCCGCTACTACTCTACCCTTTAGTCGACCGTCACGCTTTTCTTTAATTAATGCTATTGCCCGTAGGGCCTTTTCTCTCTGTTCTTGCGTCAATTCATTAAACATTCTTCCTTCAATGACGTCCTTTTCATGAAGATTGTGCGAAAGCTCTTTAACTAGTGCAGCAATTGCCAGCTCACCATGCTTCTTGATTCCTGATTTTGCTGTCATCTGGTTTAGGAGCACGTTGAATGTTTGGTTGCCTAACATTAGGTGCATATAACGGTGCACGTCTGCTGTGTTTTGTAGTTTCTCCGGCACATAACGCCACCAGTACTTCCTGTCGTCGCGATACGCATTCTCTAGGAATTTTGCTAGTGCAAAGCGTCCGATTCGTCGTGGGACACTGCACAGTAACTGTCGTTCTTTGGCCACGTGTGCTAGCGCAACGTCATCGCGCTCATACACTAAAGATGATGAGTCGCTAATGTTAAGGCTATCATTTTCTAATTGTCCCTCCGTTTCATCATAGAACAGGGGTTGCTCTTCTGGAGGAATGAATGTGACCTCTTCTTCTGGATACTGCGCTCCTGTTTCTTCACTTGGTTCATCTTCTAGATATCGCGCTCCTGTTTCTTTACTTGGTTCAACTTCATCCGCTCCTGCTTTTTCAGAGTCTTGCGCTCCTACTTCTTCAGGGGATCGGGGAGACTCCTCGAGGGCTTCTACGTACCGCCCTGTTTGATTAAAACGATTGTTCATGCGCTCTATGGCGGCGGCGCGGTTGATTGCGCGTTGCATGCGCTCTGTGACGGTAGCTTCGGTGTTGTTCTCGTCGGTATCGTTATCGTTACGCAACGATGTCAATGGGGCCTGCAGTAGCTGTGTTGACTCGTTAGGGTCGTTTGCGTCCTCCAAATCCGCCACCAAAATCGCAGTCTCATTTTCATGCTGTTCTTCTGAGTGCTCTTCTTGAGCACCTTCGTTACTATTATTTTGTTGTTCTAGGGCGTCGCTGCCGTCATCATCATCGTCGTCGTCATCATCACCACTGTTATAATCATTGTCATCCTCACTGTCATCATCATCCTCACTGTCGTCACCAGCTCTGCTGTCTTCGGACGAATCGGCTTGGTCGTCGTCGGAAGAGGCGGACGAATCGTCTTGGTCGTCGTTTTGGGGGACCGCTCCTCCAGGGGGAGGGAGCAACGCGACGTCAACCTGGTCATCATCCAAATCGAGGATGGGAACGTTCGGCCGCCACTCATGGAGGAAAGCACCCGGATCTGCATCTGCGTCGGAATTGCTAAGCTCGTGGACACGACGGATAATGTCCGTGGTGTTTGGAAGGACAGTCCATGCACGACGGACGACGGTGCGACCGGTTTGGAGGGAGAGGAACTCCCAGGTACCATCGAAATTCGGGGCAGGGGTAAGAGCAATCCCTGAGGTCGTACGGACGGTCTCTGTGTTCGTGGGATCAGGCTCGTCGTGGACTTCGCAGTACGTCTCCACGCGAAGCTTACAGTGCTTCTCGTAGTTCGTGTGCTGGCCCTCAAGTAGAGCAAAGGGACTAAAAACCTCCGACACGCTATCAGCGTGAGGGAGAATGTTTATGTATCTGGCAGATTCCTTAACGATAGCTATTTTTAGCGCCCTTGGATAATATTGGAAGGGAAGACTTGCAACCGTGGCGCGATCACGCACCTTAACAGTGCGAATGTTCCGTTCGGCTTTGGGAACATGTGCTCCCGGAGCACATATATGTACGTCCACAGAACCGTGTTCAGGCTTGGCTAATTCGTCACGTAGTGGCTCAAACTCGGGATCAGCGTGCAGAGTGCGGACAGTGAAGCCCTGGAGCCCATATTTGTTGAAACACTTCTTAATTAGAGGGAGAACCTGGTTCATCATAGCGCGAGATTGCAGAACGTCAACGAACACGTGACGTAGATTCCGCGATACGGCCAATAAGAACGGGATGCTATCGACAAAGAAGATATCGGCACACATAATGACCTGGCTATTAGCTTTAAGTATGGAGTCCGGTGTGAACCAGCCTAGAAGAAGAGATAGGAATGGGTCACAACAGAAGTTATAAGAGTCTCTCAGAAAGCCACAGAAAGGAGTGACGTAAGAGTTAGGCCTAAAGCTATGTCTGTACCTCCAAAGGGTCTAATCTAGTTCCAAGGTCACTCCAAGGTCATTACACTCTTCCCTTCTATGATCAGAGCCAGTCGATTGATCATACACTAAAGTCACAAGGCGTCCTTACATCCACTTGATCCTCCATTCAACTTCAGAGGTGGTTCTTGACGCAATGCGATGCAAGTATATCGTCCATTAGACTTGACGAAACGGCACAAGCCGTCTGATGTTGATCCTTTCACGGATCGCATCTGTGTGCAATTCTGTAATCAAATTCTTTTCGCTTTGCGTTCAAATTCTTTTTGCTTTGCGTTCTGTCTCCTCAAGTTTTCATTGATCTTGTACTGTCTCTTTTGCCTTATTTGGACTCTTCCCTTCAGACGGCTTCTTCATTCGCGGAAGCTGAGAGAAGCAGTCGGCAATCGCGTCATCAAAGAATAATACATCATATAAAAGAATAATACATCATTGTGAGTTCAAGTTTTGTGAATTTTTTGTAGCCAGAACGACGCGCAACAATATCATCAATCAAAGGCAAGGGGTATACTTTACGCTTGACAGTCTTTTTCAGCTGTCTGAGATTGCTGATCTATCGCACCCTACCGTCCTTCTTTGGAATGATGAAAGTTGGCGACGCCCATTCTTGCGCCTCCTGCTCTTCAGGAGAATATTTTTCCTGTTCAAAGTTGAAATGATCGTTCCATTGTTGATTTTCTTTTCAGCTTGATAATATTGTTCCTGATGCTGGTACTGCTCGGCACTTGGCATTCCGCCATAAGACATTCCGTCTTGGTTCCATTCCGGAACGCTGCATTCCACAGCAAAGCCTTCAGCTTCTTGATTG